AGGACACAGGGACCATCCTCAATCAGTGAATTTCTCTTTATGACACTAAGTATGTTGCTTAGATGGAATAAACTCACATTTGACTCAGAAATCCTCAATGTGACAACAGTAACAATGACAATAGAATTATTTTCCTTAAAGTATTCCCTGCATAGCAGACATGGTACTGAGTGATGCAGAGGGCCCCTGCGAATACAGGTCACCATAAGCATCACAGATCATTGTGGGAACAAAGAAAAGATTCAGCACAGCAGCTAAGGCAAAGAATTTGCCAAGTAATTAACATATCAAATATCAATTTGGTTCACAATAACATATCAAAATGGCTTTTGAAAATGTTTAAAAAGTTGAAAAAGGAGCATTCAAACCTAAATAGGTCTTGTTACCAACACTACTTTGCATAAATGATTGCTTGCAAAATGCCTCAGTCATGGATTTTATGTTCAACAGAAACAGGATGCTATAGTAGGGATTGTGGAGGTGCCATCCACTCTGCACTTGATTTTATTTTACCATTTGCAAAGTCAGAGTGCCACTTTGTGGAGTATTGTGAAATTTAGGGCTGCTTCCATTAACCAAAGTATGTAATTATGTGCAGGCACATATAAAATGAGAGCACCTCAGATGTGTGCATTGTATATGCAAACAAATAACCTAATACCCCAAATTATTTGTTCATATTACCTGATATGTGTACCCAGTTGTATTAACTTTTGAAAAACCCCTCATATCTCTGAAATTATATCGACACTGTATTTTATGCTTGTACAATATTAATAAGACAAATYGTTAGGGTAAAACACAAAATTAAATTATCATAAAATAATAAAATAACCAAAATTTCACATTTACATTATCTTGAACAGCAAATAAAACAGTTCAGTCCTTGAACATTATAGTAAAACCAAAGTAATTAAAAAACAGAAAAAAAGTGATTATGAGTTACATGTGTATGTTGTAGCTGACAATGTGCAGCTGAAATTTCCATGACCCTTGCAAAATACACATGAACTCTAATAGATTTTATATCATTGAATCAAAATCTTGCCAAATCCTTGGCATCAATCCTACAAATCCTATGTGAGTGTAAAATGAAGTAAAGGCTTCCACACCAGAAGAAGCTTCATTAGAATCCAGGAAAAGGGAAAGGAGCCCTCCTCTTGAGCAGTTGTATAGGTTCAACGTTAAGAATCACTTGGGAGAAACTATGCAAGGATGACAGCATTCCCTCTGGTGCGGTGGCATGTTCCATAGCAACATGGAAGAGCACCTCTCCTCTAAGGAACTCTGCCAAACCACACATATTCACAGCATAATTTAGACACCTGGTTCCAAATAAAGCTAGGGATATTTACATCCCTAACAATAGTAAACCATTTGACTTTTTCCAATTTATTACACATTTTTTGTAGAATCAGAATAATTTCTTAAGGTAGTCTCAGGCATGCACAGTGTATGTCCAAATGAACCAAGGCATAGTTTTCACAAGATCTGATAACCAGAGAGCAGGTATTTGGATTTCTTTAGAGCATGTATCTATCTAGAGGACTCAGAGAGAACATAAGAAACGAATAAATGCTGGTGTTAGAATGTTATTATTCATTGTCACTTTCTGAATGGCAGATCATCAGGACAAGAAACTGAGGGACTCTCAAAAGAAAATCTTTACAAAAGATGGTATCTTCATTTCACCATTTGTTCTGAGAAATATGTTCCCAAGTTCCACTTCAATAGAATGGTGACATGGCATGGTATTCTATTGTAACATTTCTACTTTAGCYTTCCCTGCAAGTGATAATATATGACAGTGTGCACTGATATTTTAATTCATTTGGTGAAATGGTAAAATGAGCACATTTTTAGAATTGCCTTATTATGAAAATGATATTAGATGTATCTTTTGAAGTGCAGTTTGTGATTCTCTACTGATTTCCATTAGATGTCATACCACTTGCAAATAAGCTAGTTTATTTTTTGCAAATCATASAAATGAGAAACTTTTTGTTGTTGTTGTTTTCAACAGCTTGTTTTTCTTAAATAAGAAGTGAAATTTTTAAAAAATTGGGAATAAACCCTTACTATCCATTACAAATTCTAGATAGCCCAGAATTGATTTATACAACTCATCACCCAAGACTTGTTAAAGAACATRGAAAGTATATTTCTAAAGTAGAAAGTAGAAAGCATTCAGGGASCACATTASAGATTATTTGATTAATTCTTAATAAAATATGTTAATTTATTAAACTTAAATGTTCCATTTTCTAATAAGCAAGGAGGAAAAACAATTAGAATATTCAAGTTAGTACTTTTTGATTTCTATTATTATAATACTGTAACCTATTAAAATTCTTTTTCAACTTTCACTTTTTTTGGTCACACCTAAGATATATAAGCAAACTATTTTTGTGGCAAAGATCAACTTACTAGCAGATGGAAACTTGTATTTTCATTTTATTTTTATTTTTTAAATTGACACATGAAATTTTATATTTTTGTATGTTATGCTACAACTACCAATCTTCATGTCAAAAAGCTTAAATCAAACATCTAATTAAAAAGTACTGTTCGAATGCAGGGTAATTATTTATTATTTTTTATGTAATATTTATGATAGTTTTGTTTGTTCCTATAATTTAAAATGACAAAATATAGGGGCTGGGGTTGTGGCTCAGAGGTAGAGAGCACTTGCCAAACATGCGTGAGCCACTGGGTTCGATCCTCAGCACTACATAAAAATAAAATAAAGGTACTGTTTCCATCTACAACTAAAAAATAAATGTTTAAATAATAAATAAATAAAATGTCAAAATATAAAAACATAAGATTAATTAGGAAGCAATGATATTGKTTCTGCAGATATAAAGTTAACTCTACATTTAACAGCAATGCCATGTTACATGTTTAAAAAAAAACCTCAGCTGTATTATATCACATAACATGATTTAAAGTTATTATTGGCAGTTTATAGACATTTAATGCTTACATTTGATGTACTATAAATACCTGGATATAAGATCACACACTTTATTTCGAATTATTTAGAATTAAAATTAATGGTTAATTTACCAGAAAAAAAAACTCTTGTTCTTTTGTTGTAGATATGTATCTAGAGAATTTTCACATTTTCTTTATGTAAGACCACACATCATATGATGTCTGTCTCCACCTTGTGGTTATTACAAATATTGCCACGTTCTGATTTTGCTCTACTCCTGGACATGAAATGGAATGGCCATGGAAAATGTCATTGCTGGTCTATTTTTGGATTTTTTATTATAACCTATAGTATCAGGTTGTTTAAATGGACACATAGAAGTCCAATCAGCATATTCACATATTTATTTGTAAGACTGTTAGTTTCTCCTAGAAATTCAAGATGCTAGTACTTTTTGTTATATGTTACAGAAACTTCCTAGGAAGGTCATGGAATGAGGAAAAATAATTTTTCCATGAGAAAATATCTTTTCCTTTCTCCCCCAGAAAAACTGTACTTCTTCTGTAATATTTCTCAGAATCTTAAACCAAAATCTTTATTCTGAGTCTTAAAGGCAAGCCCCAAATRTCTATGCTATTTTATTTTTTTTCCATTTGATTCAAGAGCTGGTGATATTGCAGAGATCAGGAGACAATGCTCTGCTCTGAAGTATTTACAGTCTGCCTAATTATGCTTTAGTTGGAGGATAAGATAAACACTGCACAAATGGTGCGATGCTACATTGTGAACAACCAGAGAAATGAAAAGTTGTGCTGCAATTGTGTGCAATAAAATCAAAATGCATTCTGCTGTCATATATACCTACTTATAATAAATAAATAAATAAATAAATAAATAAATAAATAAATATTTTTTAAAAGGGGTATCTGGTACATAGATCCTGCCAATTTTCATTCGAATAAGAGAAAATTCTCTAATTATTCACCTATCTGAAGAAATTTATAATTTCTAAACAGTGCAAAAGATTTGCTATTTGGTTGAATTATTCAAAGCAAATTTGCCATGTGTTCTTCTAATTAAACATATCTTTTTAATTTTACGTGCTGTTGCACGTAGGACCCAAAACAAAAAAAAAGAAGTTTAAACTTCCATTGGTCCAAAAACACTGTTCTGAAATCCAACAGAACATCCTGGTCATTCCAGCACTCACTCACATTACCACAGTACAGGTTCCTAATTTCCTTGTGATTCAGATGGAACTTTCCTCTATCAAATCACTATCACTTCCTCTTCCACAAAGGCAGCATCAATCTAACCCTTGTTTAAATGCACACTTTGAAGATCACACGGAACTGGGTGACATATAGATGATTTTTAAATAATCTTTATTTATGTCTGAATAAGAGAAGGCTTGTTATTATTATTATTATTATTATTCATAATCTGTATCCACCCAGAGGGATAGCCTTTAACATAGACTTCCATTGTCATTTTTTTCATAAAGATTTTATGAGTTGATAATTCAAGAAACAATAAACATGAATAAGTTGGGGAAAACTGAGGTAACTTTATTCTGCTTCTTTCAAAAGTACAGACCTATACTTTCAAAAGTACAGACCTATCATAATTATATCTCAATACATAAGATGTTCAAACATTAGCTGCCCACCTATAGCACCTATATAAACTGAAACCAAAAATTTGAATAAAATATTGCTTTATAACTTCAGGATGAATTTTCATAGAACTTGAAAGACATTAAAAAATGCTTTTTTATGCATCTGGGAGGAGATATTCTTCCGAAACAGATTTTATTCTCAGGTATCTAATTAACCACTTTAAAATGAACAAGTTCATTCCATAATATACTTCTCAGATAAGAAAAGCCTTGAAGAAAACTGAAATTCAGGAGGGCTATTTCCAGTTAGGAAATATAAGATAACTCCACTGATTATACTTCCAATCCAATGGCTATATATCACTCCTCAAATGTTAAATTTAGTGTGTTAACTCATGAGATGTGTAGACTTGGTCCGTGGTGGTAAACCTGATGAACACTTACCTTTTTCATTTCCATTTGCATAATTTGGAGGCTTGTTTTTGTCAATGCTGTTAAAGCTCTGACTTCTTCTATTTAAATTGGAGGCTCCCTGGACTTTGCTGCTGCTGCCTGCAGCTGGCACCCTAGAGGGTCCTGGAAGCCTGAAATAGCAGAAGAAAAATTACATCACAACCAGCATTTCAAAAAATAAGGAACATGAGATTTTGAGCAGGGAAAAGTTAATGGAAAAAATGCAGAACAGGATTTTCTAAAATTGAGTTTGCAGAAAATGGTGGTTTAAGTGACAAATAGCTAAATCAGAGTCAGAAATTATCAGACAAATCTTGTTTCACTTTTCAATAAGCATGCCCCCAAAGACCAGTAATAATGTAGAACAGTTAAAGTAAGGTGACCTTTCACTAAAATAGTCAAACTTATTCCACACTTGATGAATAAAATTTTGCCTTACAAGTACTTAAATAATTATAGGAAAAGCAAGGGAAATGGTAACACTTCACTTTTAGACTCTTGGCATATTAATCAGCTATTTGCAGCTGTTTAACTTATTCTTTTAATACATGTGGTATTTGTTTATCTCAGGTAGCTGTATTCCAAGTCTTGTAAATTAGTAACAAGAGGAAAGTAACTGTACAAATGGCAAACAGGAATTGTGTTTTGACTATCTAAACTAGTTAGCTACGCTATTCTAAGTATGGTGCCAATACTAAGGTCATGGGTTCAATTATATTTGACTGGGCTGCCTCACAAAAAAGGCTTTCATTCACTTGTCAAAAATACRCAACTAGGCTTTAGCTCCTGATCATACAGGAGATGTGATCAAAAAAGATTCAGGTCTAGGAAGGAAATCAATATTAGGAGGAAAATGACAGCTTAGAATATAGCTTTATGACAGCAGGCTGAGCTACTCTTTGTATGTGAAAAAACAAGATGTGAAAAAATACACATGATCTGTCTTATAATCAGAGGCAGTTTGACAAGAGGTTGTGACCTACCTATTGTATTTGAACTATAATTAAATATAAGTTGAGATAATTTATTTCACTGTTTTTTCCTTTTAGAACTCCAACTCTTGATTATTTCATAAACTGTGCCTAATTTTTATTGTATATTACTATCATATATTTCACATTTATATTAAACCCGATCCATATAAATTAAAAACTAGAAATTAAGAACTAGTGTTGACACTAAGGTCTATTTAGAAAACGTTATTGAAGGTTCCCGACATCTCTGCTTGTAGGTGCTGCCACCTTGTGAACATGACTATGTACTACTCTGAAAATTCCTATTGGAAAAGAAAAAGAACAAACTACCCAGAATCTATCGATACAATACAAAATTTTAACAGTTTTCTTTTATAAAATCTTAAAAGTAAAAGAGTATTTTATCTGTTATATGTCAAAATTTCTCAATCCAGTTATTACAATACTTAAATTTTAATTCATCTTTATAATACTACCTATTTTATTTCTGTAGATTATTTAAGAAATAAAATCTTTACAAAGTATAAATACTTTTAYAGTACTTTCGGTAACTGTAAAATGAAATGAACATCAGAAAAACGCAAAYAGTAGCTTCAAAAAGTGTTCATTTCTTGGAACAGTCAATGGTTTCAAAATTTTAAGTGTTTTACAGTTTAGATACAAATGGTTAATAAATATTCCCTTTAGCTATTTTGCTAATAAGAAGTTATGTCRTATACAGATTAGAATCTTTTCCAAATGATTCCAGCATTTAACTTTTGCTCAAATAGATCTACAAGGGTTTGCAAGTGTAGCACACTAACTGCAGACATAAGGAGTATCAGTGACTTCACTCTGCAGATGGGACTAAASTAATTAATTTGGCCAAACGTCCCATTCATAATAAATTTGTGAACAAGTCTTGTAGATATAACCATAGTCTTAGAAATCCCACTCCAAACTTACATGTATAAACAGATTTAGTCACAAAATTTGCCCTTCTTACAATGAAACTTGACCCATTTSTAGAAAGCAATTAAAATGCCTTTTAATCTTTACTGTGACCCATGAAGCCAAGTGCTTTTCAGTCCTCAGAAGAACAAATTAAAACAAATTAAAAAGTACATTTGCTCTTCTCATTACCCTAATTTGACAGGCAGCCAGAGCCTCTGGATCATTCATCAAAGTAATAAAAAGGGAAATGAGATGAAGAAAAAAAGGGGGGAGAGAGAGTACGTGAAAGAGAAATGTTCTATTAAAACAAAGTTACYTAAAATACATCTTACATGTCCAAGTGTTAGAGGGGATAATAAAAATGCCCATTGTACATGGCAGGTCACTGGTTTCTCACACATCGTAATTTATATCATTCATTGTAAGTTTTAATTAAATACTTCTTAGGATTTGTCTCTCCAGAATCATTTAACTACTGTGGAAAAAGATATAGAAAACCAAGGCAAAGGAGAAAGCACCTACCTCAGGTTAAGGCATCAGAAGTYCTTGAGGTCAAGTATCATATACTAGGATTCAGTAATGAAGCAGGGGCTAATATACCACCCTGGCCACTTCCCGGGGACTGAGGAGGTGCACAGACTCTTAGACTACTCAGAGGTACAAAATACTTTAGCTATGGCTTGACTCAGCGGCTTCATACTACCATCACGCCTTCAGCAAAGTAATATTTTCTTTTAAWACAAACTTTTCCAACACCTTCTTATGTATCATTATTTCCCAAACAGTACATATTATGCTGCCAYTTATTATTATGTGTCTCTAAAATACACACATCATAAAGAAGCATAAAATTAAGCTRTTATGGATAGAGGAACAATCTGATGCTAACTTCCCCACCCAAATCTGCCAGTGTTTCTCAGTTCTGCTTCAAAATGTGCAATAATTAATACACACCCACCTCAACAAGCAACTGCAATCTGGTATAATTTCCAGATTACTGTCACCCAGAAAGAATCATAGGGGCCAACAAAGAAATTATTTTCTTGACTTACTTAAGCCTAGAACCTAGACTTCATTGCAGTTTATAGTGTATAACAAAAATGAAATAAAAGAAGCCAAAACCATTTAATCTCTAACAACACATGCTTGCTCCTGAGACTATATGGTAATCCATTCAGAATAATTCAGTGCTCTAAACTTTGCATTTGGAACTGTGTTAATGTTTAAAAAAATTTATGGTGATAGGACAAAATATCACTGGGTATTTACTTGAATATCACTAACAAGCAATAAATTAGAGATATTAACTGACCTAGTAGGCTTTTTTTGACTGGTTGCAATTCCACTGTGATTAGACTGAGTTGCATATCTGGCTGTCAGACTGTATGAGGAGAAACAGAGAAATTGAATTAAAGAGATTCTTTGAACATGGAAAGAAAGCACAAACTTATAAGAAAACTATGAGTTCATGAAATGCAATTGGAACACATATGAACATGTATAAAGAATAACTTAATAAGAAAACTATGGTAATGCAACATAACCACCATGACCTTGGACTATGAATGCACTATGAAATAATGCAGTACAACCCTGTAATAAGATGTGGMATTATTAACTTTAAAATTATGATTGTGTGATAGTATTAATATTCTTAATAGTATTATTGCATCTTATGAAATCCAAGTAGGTTTGTGTGTAATAAGTTATTGTTTCTACTAGACAAAAATTTTTAAAGGAAATGTACAGTAAAATATTTTTCTCTAAAGAAGGGTCTACCCAAAAGTTGAAATGTAAGTGTATTTAAATTCTTGAAAAACAAGCTTAACAAATACTGGTAACAATTTTGGGCACTCTTGAGTTGCCTTTCTTAATGATTTTTTAAATCAAAATCTTCATTCAAAGACATATAAGAAAGCATTAAGTAAGCCAAGTTTGGAAGAATAACACTTCATAAAACAAATGCAAATTTGTATATTAAGTTAAACTGTCTTTTAGTTATTAAGAGTTGATGAATTAGTGTTCAAAGAAACAGGACCAACACTGGGGTGACATCATCCATGTGACCCTTGTCACCAACATCAGGGTGATAAGGGTCACATGGAGCCTTACTGCAATTGATCCAGTTACTTTGTTGCCCAGCAGCGAGGAGCACTTTAGTGAAGAAAAAGATGGCTTAGGATCAGGATCTGTTTCRTAAATTAATTATTAGTCCTCTGAGCAAGTCTCGGGTAACACAGACGTCCTTCCTCATAGAGGAAGTCTTCGGGTACATTGAACACTTATTTTTTACATTTGTCATGTTATATACATGGTTATTTGCATATAATACATTCTGTATTTTAATCACACTGAACGTCTAGTTATAACTGGCCAAACTATCTCAGTAATAGTAATACCAGAATAAGTGAAAAGTAAAAAATAAACTGTCTCACCATTCATGTCTTCATACATGTACTTAGAGTAATGATGTCCATCCCATTTACCTGCCTTTCCCTCCTCCCTTCCCCTCCCTCCCCCTTTACCCTATCTAGAGATCATCTATTCCTCCCATACTTCCCCCTACCTTTGTCATTCCCCATTATGAATCAGTATCTTTATATCAGAGAAAACATTCAGCATTTGGTTTTGGGGGATTGGCTTATTAGCATTATATTCTCCAACTCCATCCAYTTCCATGCAAATGCTATGATTTTATTCTCTTTTAATGCCATGTAATATTCCATTGTGTATATTTTCTTTATTCATTTTCTTTATTCATTCATCTACTGAAGAGCATATAGGTTGGTTCCACAGTTTAGCTATTGAGAATTGTTGAAAAAAATGTGCTATATATGTGTAATATGAATTAAAATGTATTCTGCTGTCATATATAACAAATTAGAATAAATTATAAAAAAAAGAAACTATACCAATGCAGTGATATATTCATTTAAAATTTAAAGTTTTTTTTAAAGGGACCCAAAGAGAGGAAAAATTGTTTGTGAATTTCTCAGTTAACTTGTCAGTCCAAGAATAAGAGAACCATTTAAAGTTTAGTGACTACTTCTTGTCTTATACTTTCCAATTTGAACACAAATGTATGTAATAAAGATAATAATCAAGCAGCATATATCCTTTCAGGGAAATGAGACTACCTCATTGATTTTGCTCCATGTTTTTAAGGAAATACTATAATATAATTCCTAGTATAGAACTAGAAATAAAGGAAAAACCAAGTCCAGCGAGGTTAAGTAATTTAGTCAAAATCATCTTGATTTTATTGCCCATATGTGTTTTCTGATTTCTTATGAAAGAATACAGTATTTGCTGCCTGGTTTTGTTCTAAACAAGTTCTCTTACTTTTATTTCTTGACATTTAGCTTCTTTCCTGCTTCTCTTGCATTTCTGAAGAATACCAGAGTTTTTCCAAATTTATGTTTGAATTTGACCACGTGACTCTTCTATTTTTGGAATCTCTCCTTTTCATAGACAGCCAAGCTCACTTGATTGTCTATTACATTCTTTAGTCCTTTTTTCCTTCAACAAATCTTAGTTTCCCAACTCTTTTCCTCCCAAAGCGTATTCCTTCTTTCCTCAAACACTTTTATGCATTCTTTCACTTAGTACTTTATTTCCTACAAAGATCTGAAGTAAAATGTTACCCTTTAGCATTAACCTCATCTACATACTTCCAGCCACAAATATCAACTACATAAAAGACGTGTTCATGATCTTTAAACTCACACCAAAAATCACYACTTGCTTTCTTTTATCTTCTGTTCCTTCCATTAATAACTTTATTTCTATTCATGGAAGCAAAATTTCTTCAGTGATATGGACTTGAAATCTCAAGAACCGACTTTTTCCTTTTCCTTTTCAATTGTTACAGATGAGCAATCAAWATCTAGTCATGCTGTTTGGACCGCTACAAATCCTTTTGCATCTTTGTTCTCTTTCAATTCCCAGGTTTATCACACTAACTCAAACTTTCAACACTTTCCACAGTGCCTCTTAAATASAGGAGTTGAAAGGTTTCACTCTTACCAAACTCATTATATAGAATGGGACAATTAGAACCACAAAGGACCACAAACTGTATCTAGTCTTATCTCCTGATGTTATAGGTGAAGGAAGAAAAGTGCAAAGAGATAAACCATAAATTTCCTAAAACATAAAGAAGATTGGTGGCACTGAAAAGTAGATTCTAGCATTYAAAGAGTTCTACAGTGCTTCTTTACATTTGCACCCTATGTTCTACCTTTGTCACCTCATGCATTTTGTACTCAAGAGTAGTTCTTAACCATCACCCAAACCTTAATTGTGCTTCTCTTATTTGGGCTGCCTTACTCTTGCTGTCATTCCCACGGGAATACTTCCTAATTGTGTCCATCGTAACTAAATTCTTCTAAAGGACTACTGTAAATAACACCAAGAACACCTAACATGCCATCATCTCCTAGATACACATGGAATCTCTGCATTTTTTTACCTTCTCATGTAATAAAAACATAATTTTAGTTATTTAAAATTGTAAACATAACAAGCTTTCTTCAAGGTAATCTCTTTGCTTGAATTATTACAAAGGATAAAATAGTTTATCAGAAAAGTCCCACAAATGCACTTGAAACATATTCAAGTTGATGAAAAGAGAAATGAAGGTTTTGTGATTTTTTTAAGAAAATAAAATTCCTGGTATTTTTTTTTTATTTAATAAGATGTGCCAAGACTATCATAGACATTGRGAGCTTGCCTGCTTTCTCTTATTAAAAGAGAAAAATAGTACATTTTGGAAAAAAATGTGACCTACATCACCAAACCAATTGCATAATTTTAATAATAGGGAGTATATTGTTAACACAATTTTTATTTGGACAACAGAGATGCATTTTGAAAGACTTGTATTCCAGGAATACAGTTAARAGAAAAAGAAGACGACTGTGGAATTCTCAACGTGACACATGACACAATTCATTTAACAAACAAATTGCACAAAAAAAATATTTGGAGGGAAAACCTATATAGTCTTAAAACAACTTAAAAGTAATTGTCATGTATGAATCCTTATTTAGATCCTGACTCAATCAAACAYTAAACTGTTGTTAAACATTTAACTGTTAAACCTTTATGAAAAGTTGATAATAAATGAAGCAAGGTAGGTGGTAAGTCGGTAAAAGGTCGAATCTGATTGGGGGGGGTCCATGARGAATTTAAATGGAATTTAGTTTSTTAAAAAATAAAAAGTAATATAAGAAGTATTTGTAGCATTACTAACTTGAAGAAATTAATTACTYTATCAAGTATAACTGCCACAGTACTTAGTGTATTGAAAAGAATTTATATTTATCATAGTAGGTCTACTGACAGGGTAACATTGCCATTCCACGAGTCTATTTATTATGTTTAAATTTTAATGCATAGTATATATTATGTTATTTACTATTTCATCAACTAATAATCTATTGAAAATCAATTCTAATTTTTTATTTTTTTATTCTAACTATTAAAAGAAATGTTGTACCAATCTGAATTTCTAATAGCTTCCTGGTCAAAAATGCCTGGCCTGTAACTACATCAGTCTCTACCATTCACAGATGTTTATAGACCAAGAAGCATAGTCTCCTTGTAAGAACTTTTTAATTTCTTTTTTATTTAGCTGGCTTTTTAGCATCTATCAAGAGCCCAGTGGGTAAAATACAAGGTTGGCATATGCCTCACATTTCTTTAATACTTCATAATGTTAAAGGCACTGCATTTGTGTGAATATACATATGTACATWCATATGTGCATATRTAGAGGTATATTTTAATTACAAACGTGCTGCTTGCTATTTTAATTATAGTTTTGCTGCCAACTTGCTTTCATGCYTTGCTACCTCTCTCTGTTTCTTTGTTCTCATTTGAAAATAAGATAGGAATAAAATTTAGGAGGCTTAGCTGTGCATTGGTAATCAGTTATTTAAAAATTAAGCTATTACTTTAGCCTTAAAATCACTTGGAAATCACAAATTCTCAATCTCCATATTCCTCTTTATTTCTCTGCATTTTTTTCTTTTCAGCTGCTTACATATTCAGTCTTTCCTCATCTTGCTCATAACTCTTTTGATTGTCTCAAAATCTTTGTTTCTCAATAGCTCCTATTTTTTCTTATAAAAATCATTTTGCTTTATGTCTCTCTTCCTGGACAGCAGGAAAGCATTTTTCCTCACAGGGCCTATAATACTACTTCCCAACCTCTAAGTTTATCACAGATTAGTGACGAGGCAGGTGCACAGGCACAGCTAACTTGCAGTGTATTAATAACAGACACAGGGGACATGTAAACACAGCTCCAAGACAAAGTGGGGTAAGTGAATGGTCAGAAGACCAAGGAAGTGGGAGTTTTCAGATACCCAAAGTGAA